GGTGTGGAGCGGGGCTGGGTGGACAGCGGTGTGGAGCGGGGCTGGGTGGACAGTGGTGTGGAGCGGGGCTGGGTGGACAGTGGTGTGGAGCAGGGCTGGGTGGAGCAGGGCTGGGTGGACAGTAGTGTGGAGCAGGGGTGGGTGAGCGGAGGGGGGCGTTGGTGTGGAGCAGGGGTGGGTGGGTGGTGTGGAGCAGGGGTGGGTAGTAGGACCTGAGGGTGGAAGTATAAAGGGTGCCGGGTGTCCTGGTCACTGGGAACAAAGGACAGCCACTGGCTGGAAGGAAGGAAGTCAGGAAACAGCTTTTTGGAGAAAGGGCTGGCACAGCTAAGGGGTTCCCGGGCCGGTTTGGGGCTGGCCTGCAGACTCAAGACAGGAGCTGGAGAACAGAGCCCAGTAAACACTGCCACGTGCCAGGCTGTGTTCTGTGTCCAGAGCTACCACAGCAAGCAAGACGGATCCAGTCCCTGCCCTTGGTCCAGGTACAGCCCACGGGCAGGCTGGCTGAGGGAGAAAGGGAACAGTGACCACATATGTGAGAAGGGCCTCAGACGAAGCAGTTCTTACCTAGATGGCTCGGGAGGGCTCAGCCGAGACCTGAAGGATGAGAAGGCGCCTATACCAAGCTGGGAAAGAGCACTCCGGCCAGAGAATCAGCCAGTGCGGAGGTTCTGGGGCAAGAGCACGGCACATTCCGACTGGAAGCAGGCCAAGCAGCCAGGGTGTCACTGGCAGGAACAGCATCCTCGCTGGGGCAGAAGCCAGAATAAACTTGGCTTTTAGGGGCTATGGTAAAGGGATTGATTTTTCTCTTAGGACCTTTTTTTTGGAAAAAAAAAAGAGAGAGAGATGGGGTCTCACTATGTTGCGCAGGCTGACCTTGAACTCAAGGGATCCTCTTGCCTGGGCCTCCTGAGTAGCTGGGACTACAAGCATGCACCACCACGCCTGGCCAGCCTGAGTTTTATATTGGGGTATAGCAGAGGCAGATGCTGTCTGTCTGATCCTACCCACTGGGCGAAGCCCTTTTTTTTTTTTTTTTTTTTGAGACAGGGTCTTGCTCTGTCACTCAGGCCAGAATGCAGTGGTGCAATCACAACTCACTGCAACTTCAACCTCCCAGGCTCAGGTGATTTCCCCACCTCAGCCTCTGGAGTAGCTGGGACTACAGGTGCGTGCCACCACACTGGGCTAATTTTGGTATTTTTAGTAGAGATGGGATTTTGCAATGTTGCCCAGGCTGGTCTCATACTCCTGAGCTCAAGCAATCTGCCCTACCTCCCAAGGTGCTAGGATTACAGGCAGGAGCCACTGCACCTGGCCTCTTAAAGGGACTCGGCTCTCAGTGCTGGAGCAGTGCTGTAGGGGAAGAACCTGGCTGCTATAGCCAAGACGGTCTGGGAGTCCAGAGCTGACAGCAGGCCTCTCTCCTATAATTCATGAAATCCACTGGATTCATCACTCAAGTGATTCACTGCAGTAGCGCCTGGGCCTGGCCTTCTCTGAGGAGTACAAGACACATCAGCTTTAGAGTCAGAGCTGCTTTGAGTTCCCCCATTAGCTGTGTGTCCTTTTGTACCTTCCTTAACCTCTCTGGGCCTTGGTTGCCCATCAGTAAAAATGGGGATCATACCTCTGAGGGCTTTATAGGGATTAGAGAAGTTCACAGCCACAACACATACCACAGTGCCTGACACTTAGCATTGAGTCGGTGTTCGCTCTCAATAGCGCAGATATTGTCATTATTATTTCCTAGGTGGTGGTAGCAGGAGCCCAGTCAACAGTCTGTAGCAGGTCTACATTCACCTGTTAGTTCAAGTCACTTGACTCCCCAGCTCCCTCATTTCCTCCCCAGCATTTCCTGAGGGGCCTAGGGTCTTAAAGCAGCCTTTTCGAGAGAGTGCTGCCTTCCCTTCCTGCCCCATCAGTCCCGTCCTGCCGACCTGGAGCGACTCTCCTTGAATCTGACCTCTAGTTGAATCCAGCTGGGCCAGTGTGCCCTGCTCTGCCTTCCTCAGGGGCCTGTTGTAGAGAACAAATGAAGTAATGGATGGGAAGCCTCTTTGTGAACTTTAAGTTAATACAAACAGGAGAGATTATCATTAAAAGCGACAAGTCCCCCATTGATTAGAGCATTTCTTTAGGGAGAAAAATAGCACTCCGTCTTCAGTAGGACCCTCCCGGGAGTGGGAAGCTCCCAGCTCCTCTGCAGGGCAAGTGGAGTCTTTTGGACGCCATTCGTGCCGTGGTTAATGGTATGGAGCCCTGGAGTTGTTGCCATGGCGGTTTTCCCCCTATAATTGCATTCACCTCAAAAACCACAAGTAGCAGCAGGTCCCAGCAGTCATTCTTTTATTTGAAAAACTAATTGGAAGTTGAGAGAGCCCTCAGCTTTTGTTTTGTCGGGACAGGCCAAGGAAAGATATGAGCAGGTGGGTCTGGGAGGAAGGAGGGGGTCTCGGGGCAGGCCAGGCGCGCCTCCCATTCACAGCCCCCTCCTTTGTGCCCGCCTCTCTTGGTTGAAGTGGGCCGCCTGCCGTCAAAGGCCAGCCTTTTCCTCCGAGGGGCTTTTGTCTCCCATTGTTCTGATTGTCTCCTCGGTGGAGCCGCCTCAGTGGCCCCCTGCAGACGGTTTCCCAGGCTTCACAGTTTTTTTTTTCTCGGGCGCCCAGGGAGAGCAGGTGGTCTTTACCCTGGGAGGAACCGAGTTGGTTGCATAGTTCTGGTGCTGGGAGACTGGAGACCTGGCTGCCAGGCCCTTGGAGCTTGGGTCATTCCTTCCCTGGCAACACTGTCTTAGGCTGCACAACAGAGAGGTGGGATTGTTCACCCCATCAATGTTAAGAGGCTGTGATTCTTTTTGCACTTTTTTTTTTTTTTTTTTTGAGACAGAGTCTTGCTCGGTCACCCAGGCTGGAGTACAGTGGCGTCATCTCTGCTCACTGCAACCTCCGCCTCCTAGGTTCACGTGATTCTCCTGCCTCAGCCTCCCTAGTAGCTGGGATTACAGGTACGTGCCACCACGCCCGGCTAATGTTTGTAGTTTTAGTAGAGACGGGGTTTCACCATGTTACCCAGGCTGGTCTGGAACTCCTGACCTCAAATGATCCGCCCGCCTTGGCCTCCCAAAGTGCTGGGATTACAGACTTGAGCCACCGCGCCTGGCCCCTCTTTTGTACTTTTTAAATCAAAACAGACATCCCATCATCCAGACTTTTCACAGTTGTCAGGGTTTTTTTTTTAGGTTTAATTTACTCACAGCAAAATGCACAGATCCTAAGTGAACAACTGAATGAATTTTTGTATGTAACAACACTGGTATAACTACCATTCAAATCGAAATATAGAACATTTCAGTCACCCCAGAAAGTTCATAGATTCTGATCAGAGGCACGCAGAGGGTAGGTGATGTGTGGGAATATTTGGCCCCGATAAAATGGCTCATGAATAGCAAAAGTTGGATAATCACTGATGCAGGGGCCTCGGGTCAGTGGCTCCAGTTCTCTGCTTCCCTTTATAGCAAAATTTCTCAAAAAAATCATCTCTACCAGTGCTGTCCAATAGAAATACAAGGCAAGCTACATAGGGGATTTTACATTTTCTGGAAACCAAGATAAAAAAGTTAAAAAGAAACAGGTGAAATTAATTTTAATATCTTTAATTTAACCCAGTGTATCTAAAATATCATTTTAATATGTGATCAGTATAAAAATATTGAGGTATTTTGTATTTTTTCATGTTAAATCTGAGTGATTCCTTACTTGCACCTTTAACCTGTGGGGTGCTTTGTTTTATGTGTTTTTTTTTTTTAGAGACAGAGTCTCACTCTGTTGCCCAGGCTGGAGTGCAGTGGTACAGTCATAGTTCACTGCAGCCTCAAACTCCTGGGCTCAACAGTTCTCCCACCTCAGCCTCCCAAGTGGCTGGGACTGCAGGCGTGTGTCACCATGCCTGGCCAATTTGTTTTGAATTTGTATTTGTAGAGGCAGAGTCTGGCTATGTTGCCCAGGCTAGTCTTGAACTCCTATCCTCAAGTGATCCTCCCCGCTGGGCCTTCCAAAAATGCTGGGTTTGCAGGCATGAGCCACCACGCCCCAGTGTTTATTTTATACTTAAAGTACATCTCAGATAGTACCAGCTACATTTCAAATGTTCATTAGCCACGTATGTCTAGGGGCCACCCTATTGCACAGCCAAGTCTATACTCACCAGCTCTGGTTCCTCTTCTCCCATTTCTCCCACTGAAACCAGATTTCGGCCTTCACTACTTCACCCGATTTCTCTTTGCCGAGGTCATCAGTGGCTTCCACGGTCACTTCCGTGGTCCGTTCTCAACCGACTTGTCCCATCAGCAGCATTTAGCAGAGCAGATTATCCCTTTCTTCTAGAAACACCCTTCATTTGACTTCTGGGATTCTTCTGTGAAGTGGTTTTCCTGTTACTTCACTGTCTGCTACTTCTCAGCCTCCTTTGCTAGTTCCTCATCTTTCCTCAAAACTTTTTTTTTTTTTCTTTTTTTGAGACAGTCTTGCTCTGTCGCCCAGACTGGAGTGCAGTGGTACGATCACGGCTCACTGCAACCTCTGCCTCCCAGGTTCAAATGATTCTCCTGCCTCAGCCTCCTGAGTAGCTGGGATTACAAGCGTGCGCCACCATGCCTAGCTAATTTTTGTATTTTTAGGTGAGATAGGGTTTCGCCATTTTGGCCAGGCTGGTCTTGAACTCCTGGCCTCAAGTGATCGACCTGCCTTGGCCTCCCAAAATGCTGGGATTCCAGGCATGAGCCACTGCGCCTGGCCCTCTTCTAAACTTTAAATGTAGGGTTTCCGGGGGATCAATCCCTGGACTCTACCCTTCCCACATTCTTCCTTAGTAATCTAACTAGTCTTTTGACTTTAAAGACTGACTGTCTAAATGGTGACAACTACCAAACCAAACCAGCTGTCCAGACCTCTCCCCCGAACTCAGGGGACTCTCCTGAACTAGGACCTGTACAGCCATGTGCCTACTCAGCTTCCTCACTTGCATCTTTCATAGGCACCTCACACTCAACGTTCAAACCTAAACTCTTAATATTGCCCCAGCCCCCAAAGCTGCTAAGTGGCAACTCCATCCTCACACCCTCTATCCTCAGGCCAAAAACGCGGGAGTCATTCTTAACTTCTCTCCAATCCCTACACCCTGTGTATCAGCAAATGGCTTCTGCCCTAAGAATGTATCTAGAGTTTGACCATTTCTTAGAGTGATTTTCAACATAGGTCACAGCATGTCATTCTTCTGCTTAAACTCCACCATGGCTTTCATCTCACCAAGTGTGGGATCCAAATCCTTACTGTGACCTTGTTAACGAACATTTATGGGAGGCCGCTGTTTTGAACTGAGCTCTTGCACTAGGTGGGCCCCAACAAACCAGACCCAACCAGAATAGAGTCACTCATGACCTGCTAAGTGCTGTATCATCAAACAGAACATTAAATGGTCCAGTTTTCCAAAATATGAAATTCACAGCAGCCAATCAGAAGGGGTCCAGTTGGGCCAGGCACAGTGGCTCATGCCTGTAATCCCAGCACTTTGGGAGGCTGAGGCAGGTGGATCGCCTGAGGTCAGGAGTTCAAGACCAGGCTGGCCAATGTGGTGAAATGCCATTTCTACTAAAAATACAAAAATTAGCCAGGCTTGGTGGCAGGCGTCTATAATCCCAGCTACTCGGGAGGCTGAAGTAGGAGAATCGCTTGAACCCGGAATGGGGAGGTTGCAGTGAACTTAAATCACGCCACCACACTCCAGCCTGGGCGACAGAGTGAGACTCCGTCTCAAAAAAAAAAAAAAAGAAGGGGCCCAGTCTACCTTAGCTTGCATAATCAGGAAGTCCCCTCTGCTTTAACCCCAGAAGGAAGGTAACTTTGAAATGACCAGTCTGCTTTTCATGTCCTGTTTCTGCTTCTTCAGCCCCTTTTTGCCTGTAAGGCTCACTCCCACTCAGCTTGTCAGAGCCCCCCGTGGGATGCTGCCCAGTTCGTGAACTGCTCACAAACGCCAATTCAATCTTTAAAACTCTATTTGGGTCGGGGTGGTGGCTCACACCTGTAATCCCAGCTACTTGGGAAGCTGAGGCAGGAGAATCACTTGAACCCTGGTGGTGGAGGTTGCAGTGAGCCGAGATCGTGCCAGAGCACTCTAGCCTGGGCAACAGAGTGAGACTCCGTCTCAAAACAAAACAAAACAAAAAAACAGAAAAAAACCCAAAAGACTCAATTTGTTACTTTTTTTGTTTTGTTTTGTTTTTTAACACTTCCAAGTGTCCCCATGAGCTGGCCTCCTGCTCCTCCAGGACTTTTTTCTCTCCACTGACATCCTTGCTCTGGCCCAGGTAGCCACATTGACCCCCTTGCTAGTCCTCCTTCCACACTCCTGCCTCTAAGCCTTTGTTGAGTTTTCACTCTGCCTGGAATGTTCTTTACTCTGATATTTACAAAGCCAATTCCCTCTCTTCCTCAGGTCTTTACTCAAATGTCACATCAGTGAGGCCTTCACATATACACAGTGTAGATCAAATTATACCCCCAGCACTCCCTGGCCCTTTAAAGCTTTATCCTTTGCACTTGCCAACATCTGACATATTCTATATTGACTTGTGTTTATTATTCTCTTCCCCACCACACACACATTGGAATATAAGCTCTATAAGGTCAGGGACCTTGTTCATGACTATCTCTCCAGTGCCCAGAACAGTACCTGGCACAGAGTGGGTGTTCTATAAATGTTTGTTGAATGAAGGCCGGGTGCGGTGGCTCATGCCTGTAATCCCAACACTTTGGGAGGCTGAGGTGGGCAGATCACCTGAGGTTGGGAGTTTGAGACCAGCCTGACCAACATGCAGAAACCCCATCTCTACTGAAAATACAAAATTAGCTGGGCATGGTGGCACATGCCTGTAATCCCAGCTACTCGGGAGGCTGAGGCAGGAGAATCGCCTGAACCCAGGAGGCAGAGGTTGCAGTGAGCCGAGATCGTGCCATTGCACTCCAGCCTGGGCAACAAGAGTGAAGCTCCATCTCAAAAAAAAAAAAAAAAAAGTTTGTTGAATGAATAAATAGTGCTGCTTATAGAAGAGCAAGTCACACGTGGGTGAAGGATGACTGTGATTGAAGTTAGTTGAATGTGGTTAAAAGCTGGTTCTGGGTTGGACTTGCCTGGATTTGAATCCCAGCTTTCTCATTTGCCAGGTGTGACTGTGGGCAATTGGGTTACACTTTCTGTGCCTCAGTTCTTTGTCTGTGAAAGAAGGAGGATGCCAATACCCCCCCCATCAGCCTGTGTAAGGAGCATATGAGGTTCTATGCACGAAGCTGCCTGCTTTGCACTCCGCGTGCTTGGTAAATGTTAGCTTTAAACAAAATTATACCTTGTAATACCACTTTGGGAAATGTAACTATATAAAACACAGAAAAAATTAGGCTGAAGAGAAAAGAACATTTAAATGCACACCGGTATGGGGGAATTTTATTGTATTTACAAAGGAAAAAGTGGGTCAGAAATGAAAGAGGATTAACTGGATCCAGTTGCGTTTTGGCTACAGGTAGCCCAGGTCACAGGAGGAATCTTCATCCCTGGGAGTTCCTGCTACAGAAAGAAAGATCAAGCTCAATCCGGGGAATTCAAGTGAGGGTGGCTAGAGTGGGATGCATGGAATCAGGGCTATGGGTGCTCCCATGGCAGGAGCTGGCCTTTCGGATTCCAAAAGAGGCTGTGTGGGGTGGAGGGAAGGATGTGCAATCGTGCCAGCGAGGTGAGTCCCAGGCTTAGCCCCTGCTCTCTGCTCTGCCAGCCAACTCCCACCAAGACCCTGGGCCAGTCACTTCCCCTTGAAGAAGCTGCCTCTAATCCCCAGACAGGCTCAGCGTTCTCCCAGCCTCACCGTCACCACTTCCCAGCGTCTCTTCCCACTCATCACAATGAAGTAATTGACTGTACAAGAACGTATCTAGTTCCTTGCTGCCTCGGTGCGTTATGAATTCCATGAAAGCAGGGGTCACTGCCGTCCTGTACCCTGCTATGCCTCCGGTCCAGAGCGTGGCATGTCACAGTCACTGGATGGTCTTTACAGGGGTGGGAGGATGGCTAAACCCGAGCCTCAGTTTCCTTACGGGGCCATTACATGGACACAATGTATGATGGGTGCAAAAGTGAGCCATCTGTCACATGGCTCTCCTCTGCACTCTAAAGCAGGAACTTATTCCTGCTCACCAGTGATATCCTGGTATTTGCAGCAGTCCAGCTGGAGGGGGAACAATGGCTGTAGCAGCCTTCGGGACCCTTCCTGCCAGCTCTGCGGGCTCTATGACTTCAATCTCTGTGAAGCCTCTGGCTTTTAACTGGCAGGAACAAAGCCTGCATTCTTAGGATTAGCCCTCCCTGGAGCCATCCACCCTACCGGGGCCTGATGAGAGCCATAGCAGGTGAACAATTACCTAATCCCAGCCTGCGAGGCACAGAGGAGGCATTCTTCTTAGAGACATTATTTTTGAACTCTAGTCTTGCGGACCCTAGAGATGGTAAGAGCTAACCCCTCCTTTCATAGAGTCGAAACTAAGAAGCGTGTTGCTGTGCTGCTAGTTGTGGAACCAGGCCTGGGGTCCAGGCGTTCTTCCCGCCTCCCAGCCTGGTTGTCGCCCCTCCTGTCATCTGCCGTAGGCCTGGTGCTGCTTGTAGATGGTGAAATCTCTGGGCTGGTGGTGTCTAATCGGGTTGGGAAGAAGGGGAGAGAGGCCACGGAGAGCTCTGCTGGGAACTGGATTTGCTTAATAGATTGGACCAGAAGTGCCCAGCAGAGCCACACTGGGACCTGCTTGTGCTCGCAGTTCAATCAGGCTCTAGGCCAGCTGTGGTGGCTCACACCTGTAATCCCAGCACTTTGGGAGGCCAAGGCAGGTGGATCACCTGAGGTCAGGAGTTCGAGACCAGCCTGGCCAGCATGGTGAAACCCCATCTCTACTAAAAGTACAAAAAGTTAGCCGGGTGTGGTGGCGGGTGCCTGTAATCCCAGCACTTAGGGAGGCTGAGGAGGGCGGATCACCTGAGGTCAGGAGTTCACTACTAAAAGTACAAAAATCAACTGGGCATGGTGGCAGGCACCTAATCCCAGCTACTCGGGAGGCTGAGAATCACTTGAACCCTGGAGGCGGAGGTTGTAGTGAGTTGAGATCACGCTACTGCACTCCAGCCCCGGTGATGAGAGTGAAACTGCATCTCAACAACAACAACAACAACAACAACAACAAAAAATCAGGTTCTAAACCCCAGCAGAGTTTCTCCAAACAGCCACGACATTTTTGGGAAACTTTGCCCATGAAGTGGGGCTTTGTGCAAAGAACAGGTCTTGGGCCTGCCAGTCCCTGACTTGGGGCCAGCTGCCGCCCCCTCTTTGCCTTGCTTTTCCTCCTCTGTAAAATGAGGAAACTCATTTCCGATCTCCCCTGACTCCCAGGAGAAACGTGAGGGCCAGTGAGCTGGGGAACGACAGTCATCACGTCTCTCGTCTGCTGATCGTGTGTCTGTGCACACTCATCTACCACAGTGTGTGGGAGGGCTGGTCTGTCTTTGGCTTTATAGTTTTTTGAACTTGGCAAGGGATCCAGAGCATGCCTGTCAGTTCACCTGCAGCCAAATCCTTGGGGACACCTGTTAAAATTCAGATTTCTGGGTCGTATCCCGGAACCATTCAGTGAGTAACATTTTTGGGCATGGACACTGAGCCTGGCCTCTGGCTCCGTACTGGGATACTGCCGTGGATAAGATGCGGTCTCCATCAGACACTTCCCACCCGTCATGTCTAAAGAACTCTCCTAGTATTGATTGATTGATTGATTGATTGATTGATTGATTGAGGAGAAAGGCCACATGACATGGAGGTTCGCTCTTGTTGCCCAGGCTGGAGTGCAATGGTGTGATCTCAGCTCACTGCAGCCTCCGCCTCCCAGGTTCAAGCGATTCTCCTGCCTCAGCCTCCCGAGTAGCTGGGATTACAGGCGTGAGCCACTATACCTGGCTAATTTTTGTATTTTTAGTAAAGACAGGGTTTCGCCATGTTGGCCAGGTTGGTGTCGATCTCCTGACCTCAGATGATCCACCCACCTCGGCCTCACAAAGTGCTGGGATTACAGGCATGAGCCCCCGCACCCAGGCACTTTCCTAGTTCTTTTTTTTTTTTTTTTTTTTTTTTTTTGAGACGGAGTCTCGCTCTGTCGCCCAGGCTGGAGTGCAGTGGCCGGATCTCAGCTCTCTTTTCGCTCTTCCTCCTGGGTTCTCACCTTTCTCCTGCCCCAGCCTCCCAAGTGGCTGGGATTACAGGCGTGAGCCACTATACCTGGCTAATTTTTGTATTTTTAGTAAAGACAGGGTTTCGCCATGTTGGCCAGGTTGGTGTCGATCTCCTGACCTCAGATGATCCATCCACCTCGGCCTCACAAAGTGCTGGGATTACAGGCATGAGCCACCATGCCCAGCCATTCTCCTAGTTCTTAATGTCTGTCAGGAGGGTCCTTTTTCTTGGTTTGTTTGGCAGAGCCCCATACCTTCAGAGAGGAGTGGATTTTTTCCTTTTCCCAGCAAACCATGGAGTAGGAAGCCCTGAAGTCCCTAGAAGCACACATGCACACACACCCATACCTGTGCTTCTGCAGCAGGGCCACCAGAATGCTCTCCAATTCCATTTGCTTTTGTTCTGCCCACACGCTGTCCACCTGACGGCCAAGCCGTGCCCTTGCTCCTCGCTCTTGGTTTCTCTCTCTATGTGGTTAGAAAAAGAGAACTAGTTGCTATTTGGGTAGGATGTGGAGAGGCAGAGGTATATCCCTATGCCTATTTCAATATCTGGTGTGAACTCTTCTACCCAACTGAATTAGATTCAGCCACACTTAGGGAGGCAGTATATATAGTAGTGAAGAGTACAGTAGTACAAATGTATACAGTTGCAAAACGTCTCCCCACAGATTATTAATTATAGAGGGAAAAATAACTTTATAGAGGAGAAACCTGGCAGACACCATGTTAACCAACTGATCGAAGTTACCATCTACCAATAATCCACCAATAATGGCACAAGTTGCCATCCTGTGCCTCCTGATACCAGGCACTGAGAAGGACACAACATTACTTCTGTGAGTGCATCACCTGATTCCTCTAATCATCATTAGAGGAATGCATCCTCTAATCATGGGGATATGTCTGGCAAATTCAACATGAGAGACATTCTATAAATCATTAGCCTTTAGTAATCAAAACTGTCAATGTCATGAAAGACCGAGGAACAATTCCAGATTAAAAGAAACTGAAGAGACATGACAACTAAATGGTATCCATGATCCCAGATTGGGTCCCAGATCAGAAAAAGAAATAATTGTCATAAAGGACATTTTGGGACAACAGGTAAAATTTGAAAATGAATTATAACTGACAATTATATTATGATTATGTAAGGAAATGTCCTTTGGTTAGGTATTAGGAGACACATACAGAAGTACCTAAAGGTGGAGGGTCATGATGACTGCAATTTACTCTCAAATGGTTCAGCAAAAATGATAACAACACTTAATGTGCATATGTGTTTCTGTGGTATGTATCTATATCTAGCTATAGATATAGAGTAAGCAAATGTGATAAAATGTTAGGAATTGGAAGGGTATATGGAAGTCCATTGTGCTTTTGTTGCAACTTTTTTGTAAGTTTGAGATTTTTTCAAAGTAAAAACTAAAAAACATACAGGCTATACAGTCAGGCAGTTTTGCTCCAAACTCTGCCACTCTTTGTGTGTCCTTTAAGAGCTATTAACCCTGGGCCCAGACACAGTGGCTCATGCCTGTAATCCCAGCATGTTGGGAGGCTGAGGCGGGCAGATCACGAGGTCAGGAGATCGAGACTGTCCTGGTTAACATGGTGAAACCTTGTCTCTACTAAAATATACAAAAATTAGCCAGGTGTGGTGGCACGCACCTGTAGTCCCAGCTACTCGGGAGGCTGAGGCAGGAGAATGGTGTGAACCCAGGAGACAGAGCTTGCAGTGAGCTGAGATTGTGCCACTGCACTCCAGCCTCAGGGATAGAGCGAGACTCCGTCTCAAAAAAAAAAAAAAAAAAAAAAAAAAAAAGCTATTACCCCTGTATAATGGGGATAAGGGTTGTTATGAAGATTAAAGAAGAAACTAAAAGCTGGGCAAGGTGGCTTACAACTGTAATCCCAATGCTTTGGGAGGCCAAGGTGGGAGGATCGCTTGAGGCCAGGAGTTCGAGACCAGCCTGGACAACATAGTGAGACGCCATCTCTACAAAAAATAAAATTGTCGGTTGTGGTGGTGCATACTGGTAGTCCCAGCTACTTGGGAGGCTAAGATGGGAGGATCATTTGAGTCCAGGCATTTGAGTTTACAATGAGGCATGATCATTCCACTGCACTCCAGCCTGGGCAACAGAATGAGACCCTGTCTCTAAAAAAAAGAAAGCAAGAAACTAAGAATAATAGTAGCTGACACTACCAAGGGCATCCTGTGTGCCCAGCACTGTGCCAAATGTCTGTAAATGTCCCAGGGCAGAGCCTTTGTTTTTGGCATGGAGTCATGATTAAATGGTAACTACCACCAGTGTGGTTACTGTCAGAGCCTAGCCGGAAGAGGCACATGGTAGGTGTGGAGGTAAGCTGAGGTTTAACGCTGGAACCCTTTTGCTATGGGAAGTCCAGAAATGACACTTGCTGTGCCAAGGAAGAGATCTGACTTGGTCCCTGGTCTCCTGTAGGGAACAAGATCCCAGAGACTCTGCTGCAGTGTATGGGAAGAAATCACTAGAACTCCTGCTTACCCCTGCTGCCTGCTCATGATGTCTTGGAGCAGCTTGCGGGCGGACAGCTGGCCCAGCACCTTCCGGTAGCTGTTGGTGAAGATGGCATCTGCATACCGCCGCATCCTGTGCAGAAGGAGTCAGGGGTCAGAGGGCGGGGTGGAGGCCAGGCGAGGGGACAGTCACGGCCGCATTCGCCATGTCTCTGCAAGATCCTTCTGTTGCCATCTGTCCCACTCACCCCAAGAGAGACTCAGACCCCTCTGAGTGACCTCTGTGAAGCTGTGTCTGCCTCCTCTGCAAGGACGGGCAGTGGGTGCTGCCTGGAGACATAGCCGGGGCCCAGCTAATGGGCTGAGTCTGCATTCACTAACGCCTGCCCCATGGCAGGGATGGCTTGGGAGTGGTGGGAACTTTCCCCAGGGGCTGCTTACCTGAGAGTCAAAGGGGGAGATGGGGAGCAGTGGGAGCTGCTGCTGAGGGTGAGGATCACAAAGAAGAACACCCAGAGTGGCATCCTTCACCCGGGGCTGGCACCTGCAGAGTGACAGGAGAGAAAGGTCAGGTATAGCCACAGCCATCGGGATGGCCTTTACTGGCCCAGCCCTGGGCTTGACTCCATGGCAAGCCTTGGTTCTTGATTTTTGGAAACTGTGGAATGGGAAAAAGAATTCGGACTCTGGAAGTCAGACAGACCTGGGTTCACATTCTGCCTCTGCCAGCCACCCGCTCTGACTTCACTTTCTTCATCTGTAGAAATGATGGAGCTACCCTGCCAACCACATAGGGTTGAACTGAAAACCAGTGACGGTAGAGAAATTTCCCCTTGCCATAAGGCATTAGAAGTGGGATTTGGGGCCAGGCACGGTGGCTCACGCCTATAATCCCAGCACTTTGGGAGGCTGAGGTGGGCGGATCACCTGAGGCCAGGAGTTTGAGACCAGCCTGGCCAACCTGGTGAAACCCTGTCTCTACTAAAATTACAAAAATAAGACAGGAGTGGTGGCATGTGCCTGTAATCCCAGCTACTCGGGAGGCTGAGGCATGAGAATCCCTTGAACCCGGGAGGCGCAGGTTGCAGTGAGCCAAGATCATGCCATGCACTCCACGCTGGGTGACAAAGTGAGACCCTGTTTCAAAAAAAAAAAAAATTAAATAAATAAAATAAAATGGGATCCCTTAGCAAGGAATGGGGAAGGTCAAAGAACCTTCTCTCAATGCCCCCTCATTCAACCCCATCCAGTGTGGCAGTGACGGCAGGCAGCAAGGGCAACTGCTCCGCTCTGGGTCAGACAAACTGGAAATTCAAATCCTAGCTCAGCTGTCATTAGCTGTGTGTCCCAGGACAAGTGGCTTCCCCTCTCTGAGCCTTATTTTCCCTGGCCATAAAACCGAGATGGTAACTAGACCTCCTACTTTGGCTCCTGTAAGGATCTGGTGAGGTGAGGTGCCTGAACCAATAGGGAATTCTCTAGAAACCTTTGCTGTGGCTACCTAAGACTGACCCTCTGAGAGGGCAGGCTCTTCCTGTTTTAATTTTGTTTGGAGTTGGAGAGAGGGGAGAAGGGCTCTAAGTCTTGCTCCAGACGCTTAGATTTCGCTGAAGGGTTTTAGTCCTGGAAGAGACTGAAGAGCCGGGGGAACCAGCGTGGCACAGTCGTCCCATAGGTCCTGTAACTACCCTTAATTGGGGCCTGCGGACACCATGCTCTGCAATTAGGGGAAGAACAGCCAGCAGGGGACAGAGCCCGCCCCTGCGGAAGTGCCACTGTGTCGGCCCAGACCTGCCTGAGCATGGAAACACGGCTGCCATCGGGGGACTTGGCCCCCTAGGAATTCGGTCCTCCCATCTCCATGGGTTTCTCCCTCTCAGCAGGATGTCTCCTCCATGGGGGTGTAGATCCATCCAGGGGCCCAGCCGGCCCTGGAGATGGCCAGCACCCCTGCCTTTCCCACGATCTCCCGACATGGCTTCCTTCCCTCCCGCTCCTGGGTCCTGCTGAGGAGTTCCGGCAGGCAGGGCCAGCGCTAGCAGAACCCAGCTTGTTCTCCCGGCCCTCTCAGGGTATCACCCTCCTTTCCGAAGGCACTGAAATCTCCTCTAACCCAGGGATGCCTTGGGCCCCCAGGCAGCACTCTCAGGGACCGCTCATTGCAACCTGAGACCCTGTGCCTGCAGAGCTGGAGGGAGCAGCAGCCCAGGCCTCAGCGGTCAGTCCCTCCCTCCCTGACACAAGCATCCCCACTCCCCTACCCCGCCCCGATCGCACACTGGCCGTCCTCCACTTCCTGCTCTGCTCGAGTGAGCACTGGCTGCCAGCGAATGACAGGGAGCTCACTACCCCCACGCCCTGGGGCTTATTTCCAAGTGGCTCTTTATTTATTTATTTTGAGACAGGGTCTCACTCTGTGGCCCAGGCTGAGATGGAGTGGTGCAATCATGGCCTGAAACTCCTGGCCTCAAGCAATCCTCCTGCCTCAGCCTCCTGAGTAGCTGGGACTGCAGGCATGTGCCATCATGCCCAGCTAATTTTGAAATTTTCTGTAAAGATAAAGTCTCACGATATTGCCGAGGCTGGTTTCAAACCCCCGGGCTTAAGCAATCCCCCCGCCTCAGCCTCACAAAGTGTTGGGATTACAGGCATGAGCCACCATGCCCGGCCCAGGCAGTTCTTATTGTTAGGAAGTTTGTCTCATCATGTCAAGCCCAAATCTCCTTCTCCTGCAAATATTCGTTAAGCCTCTACTGTTCCGGTAAGGACTGGGGCTAGAGAAAAGATGAGAACATGAGATCTGCCCCGAGGGCTGGCTGTGTAACTTCTGCCTGCTGGGCCAGAGCCTCTGCACCTGCAGCCAAACGACCAGCCCTTTAGATACGTCTCACATCTGACTTAAGCCTTTGTTCCTCAGACCAAGGCTCGGCAGCCTTCCGTCCTCCTCATCGCACCATACCATGTCTGGTCCCCCTTCTCCCCACCTGGTCCAGGCTGCCTCTCCAGAAGTGGAATTTCCTAAGCTGGGAGACCTTTGGACACAAGCAGCGCCCCTTGACAGAAACCACTGCCTTTCCTGTCTCTCCGCTGCAGCCTGGCTTTCTTGCCTTCTTTGCTGCTGATGTTTAAAGATTCAGGCAGATCTGGGTCCCCAATCACCTCCCTCCCCTGCTCAGAAGCCCCTGGCTCCCCACTCCCTCCAGAATAAAGCTCAAACCCCTTGTCTTGACTTAAGCTTTCCCTCTGCCTCCTGAGCTCCTGCCCCTTCTCCCAAGGACTGGCACAAGGGATTCCCAGCCCCTGTGCCCTACCGGGCTCTACAACCCACCCTTGCACTCTCCCTCTGGAGCAGGCACCCCCATGCTCCTCTCACAGCTGAGGAAAAGAGCCCAGAGGAGACAAGGACCTTTTCCATGGTCCTCCATCAAATTAGTTTTGGAGTGGGCACTTCAGAATGGGCCTCCCCATTCCCAGGCCAGCAGACTTCCTCCCGCTCCATGCAGCAGCTTCCCAGGTACAATGCTCTATTCACAGCATTCCCCGTTCACAGGGGGCCTCAGCCTCCATCGCCCGCACGTGGGAAAGGGTCTGAAAAAAAGGAAACTTCTTGCTCTTTGTCGTTGGGCCTCTGGGGAAGAAAGAATGGAGACAGACAGGAACACCTGCTTGACTGGTCCCTCCCTATGCACACCCGGTAGTTTCAAGGAGTTGAAAATAACCTTATAGAAGGGCAGACTTTGATGGCGAGAGCAAGTCACAGTAAACATGATAATACCCCGCTCATTCAAGATAAGGCTCAGTAACTGCACAAGCTAACCAAGGGGCTCAACATTTGCCACAAATCCTGTGCCCCAGGCATAGGTCAAGACACCATGGCAACCTCTGAGCTATGAGAACCTAATCCATGGGTTTGCAGATTCCACTGGATGAAAATGGGAAACAACAAGAATTACCCAGTGTAGGGTAAGATAAGAATAGAGGTTATGTCACTAAGGATAAAAAAGCTCCAGCCTGAGCAACATAGCGAGACCCCATCTCTACAAAAAATAAAATAAAATAAATTATCTAGGCATGGTGGCACATGCCTGTAGTCCCAGCTACTCTGGAGGCTGATATGGGAGGATTGCTTGAGCACAAGAGGTTAAGTCTGCAGTGATCCATGACAGTGTCACTGCACTGTAGCCTAAGTGCCAGAGCAAGACCTTATCTCAAAGAATAAAATAAAATAGCTGTCAACAGACACATTCCACATGACAACTTAAGGAGTCAAAATTCACCGAATGAAGTGTAGCCGAGCCCAACAGCGTTGCTGACAACGCTGATGACTGAAGGCACTCGAGAGTTTATAATCTATCATGATCATTGGTTAGCTTCCTGCAGTGCTTACTGATTCTGTGATTAGATGTACTTGAGATTGCCTGGATTCAGGATAAACAGGCACTTAATCTACATCTGTCGGCACCTTTTGCCAGCCTTCATGCCAGGAATGTCAGGAGAATTCTGCAGATTCACCTGCAGCTAACGACAGAAGTCAGGTCCCAAGCACCCAAATTCGCAAGGCCATTTTTGAAAACCCAGGGAAAGAACATCTTTAACTTTCCTTGAACATTCCCCTTTGAAATTTGAGCACCCCAAAGCATCGACATCCTGATCTGGTTTATAAACTGTTTCACCGACAGCACTCTAAGTTAAAAGAAATCTAAGTTTTTAATGAGGAAGCATCTTGAACTGTCATTCAAAAGAGTGATACTCCAGCTCATTCCAGAAGGGGTTTGAGGCGGTCTATGGTGAAAGACACAAATACTTCAGGATCATTAAAGCAAGGATCAGGAGACAGGCGTGGGGTAGCGGAGGACTCCAAGGGCAGATAATTGTGTCTAAAACCTGGAGTAAAGAGTGCGGCTGCAATTGAGCAAGAAAGCAAAATGTTATCAATTTCCCAGCAATTACATTGAATCAGTTCTGAGTGATCAATGAGCAGTATTGATTTGCACAGCCACTTGGCTCATCTCTGATCCATGGCAGAATCCCATCGCTGACAGGAAAATCGAGCCAACTCACATTTGCCCCCGAAGCCTGCCCACGCACCCTTGAAGAAGCACTGAGACCTCAACGCCTGCGACAGACACCTGGAGCCAGTCCGCCACGCGCCCAAGTTAAGAGAAGCCCCAAACAGCACCATCAAAGCCTATTCCAGAGCCTCTATTGAGGGGTGGTTTTATCCAGAGAGGGGCTCAGATGTACTCACCAGTCCATGGGTAAAGAGGATGGTGGTGGGCCTCTTGGATTCAGTGTTTCTGAGTTGGTGAGAAGGTTAACTTTTCTTGCTCCCAACCAGCCCAGCCCCCAAGGGCCACCCCTCTCACCTGATGCGGCAGATCTCCCCCTGCTCCGAGGCACTGCTCCAGTCCACGGGCCCTGAGCTGGGTGTTGGCTCCGGCAGCCGCCTGGCGTCCCCATCATTTATCCCTTCATTTTCCTAAGCGTTGTCAGCGTCAGAGAATCAATTACCCACAAGTCAACCAAAGGACTGTTTTTAGCATCACATCACACTGACAAACCCTAATAGGTGAAAGAGGCTTGGCCCCTTGCAAATTAAGACTCCTGGTAAAGTCTCCCTTTACCTTTGACAGGGTGGACAGAGTACAAAGTTGTAACATCATTCCAAGAGGATATAGAGAATATATACTGCCATAATAATGATCGGAGAACTCGGCTGGGCGCGGTGGCTCACACCTGCCATCCTAGCACTTTGGGAGGCTGAGGCGGGTGGATTGCCTGAGCTCAGAAGTTTGAGACCAACCTGGGCAACATAATGAGACCCCGTCTCTACAAAAAAATTTAAAAATTAGCTGGGCGTGGTGGCACACGGCTGTTGTCCCAGCTACTCAGGTGGCTGAGGCAGGAGTGTCACCTGAGCCTGGGAGGCGGAGGTTGCGGTGAGCCAAGACCACACTATTGCACTCCAGCTTGGGTGAAAGAGCAAGACTCTATCTCAAAAAATATACTTTTTAAAAAAGAAAAAATATGTGTTAAAAATAATTGGAATACTCATAAGACTGAAACACCAAGAGTTTATTGATTCCCCAAGATAAATGTACCTTTTTAAAAGTTCCTATAATTTAGTTTTGTCCCTGTGTAATTTTATTTCACTTTTGGGAAGACACATTACGAATAAACGTTATCCTCTCCTTAGTGGGGAATTCGTTCACTATCTCCCTTGTCGTCCAATTATCAGAATTCTGCACTATTTGATTTACACCTGCTTGGTCACCCGCTGTTTTCAACAGCTAACCTGGGAGCATCCGTCGTCATTTGTCAAGGCAGCCAGACATTGGCAGTTGCCTCAGAGAAGTGTGAAGTGAGAGGGAAGAGATGGAAAACCGTGGGAGAGTTGTGCTTCCAGATTTCCCTAGCCTATAGCTAAGAAATCCTCACGAATGACATAAAAGCATAGGAGGCAGAAGCTCTGGTTTCCCAGGCAGCCATTGTGAAAGTGTGGAAAGAGCTCCAAGCCTCGAGTCTAGGGACCTGCTACCTCTTCTAAGCCTGTCAATCATGACCTCTATGACCCTAGGAAGTTACTTCTACCTGGCTGGGCATGGTGGCTCACACCTGTAATCCCAGTGCTTTGGGAGCCTGAGGTGGGTGGGTCACGAGGTCAGGGGTTCGAGACCAGCCTGACCAACATGGTGAAACCCTGTCTCTACTAAAAATGCAAAAATTAGCTGGGTGTGATGGTGGATGCCTGTAACCCCAGCTACTCAGGAGGCTGAGGCAGGAGAATTGCTTGAACCCAGGAGATGGAGGTTGCAGTGAGCTGATATCGCGCCACTACACTCCAACCTGGGTGACAGAGCAAGACTCTGTCTCAAAAAAAAAAAAAAAGGAAGTTACTTCTACCCTCCAGGCCTTAGTTTCTATCTGGAAACTTGAGAGTTGACATAGAACAGCAACTTCCAAACTTTTTTTTTTGAAAGGGAGTCTCTCTTTGTCGCCCAGGTTAGAGTGCAGCGGTGTAATCTCAACTCACTGCAACCTCCACCTCCCAGGTTCAAGTGATTCTCCTGCCTCAGCCTCCAGAGTAGCTGGGATTACAGGCGCGTACCACCACGCCTGGCTAAGTTTTGTATTTTAGTAGAGATGGGATTTTGCCATGTTGGCCAGGCTGGTCTCGAACTTCTGACCTCAGGTGATCCACCCCCCTCGGCCTCCCAAAGTACTGGGATGACAAGTGTAAGCCACTGCACCCAGCCCAAACTTTTTTTAAAAAGTGGCAAAACTCTTTCTTTGGAAACCTACAGAAACAGGTTTTTAATATGGGGCTACTGTGGTTGAAGAGGGGGAAGTGCAGTGGAGACCACCTTGCCTACCCCTGAGGTACCTCAATGGGTCACAATTACAAGCCAGTAGTTTCCAAGAGTCCCCTTAGCAACACTATTTTGTGTTTCTGCTTCTTATCCTGCACTGAGCCATGTTCTCGGCATCTAGCAAATACGGAGGATGTTTCCTCCATAGAACGCAAAGCTTGAGTGTATGTCACCTTGCTGGCCAGGAAGATATGAAGTTGGTCAGCGTCAGGCCAGATCCCAAGATAAAAATGGGCCGGGATAGTGTCAGGGCAGTGCTGCATGCCTGGGTTAATCCTAGCAGTGTGGAGGCCAAAGGGGGGCGGAGGCTGCCATGTAGCTCAGGAGTTTGAGATGCAACACTGGGGCATAACATGGTGGGGGGGGGGGGGAAAACGGTGCCGTTCTCTATAAAATACAAAAAATTAGACTGGGCATAAGTGGGCTACGCTGTGCCGTAAATCCCCAGTACTGGGGAGGCTGAGGCACGGAAGAATCGCTTAAGCCCCAGAGGCAGAGGTTGTCAGAGGCCGAGAGTTTCGGCGCCGACTGCACTTCAGCTTAGGATCGAGCAGAGGAGACTGCTTCAAAAAAAGAGTTAAATGAAATAAAAAGGCATGGGTGGGTGGGTCACGTCTGTAATCCAGCACTGGAGCTGAGAGTGGGGCTGAATCACGAGGGTCAGGAGATGCAAGATCATCCTGGCTATAACATGGTGAAACCCTGTCTGTACAAATACAATACCAAAAGAATGTAGCCAGGCGTGGTGTGGTGACGCCGTTTTATCCCAGTCTACTTGGAGGTCTGAGCTAGTGAGAATGGCTTTGCCCGGCGCTCAGTCGGTAGCTTGCAGTTGAGCCGATGATGGCGGCGAAGCGCGGCTGGGTGATCAGAGCGCAGACGTCTCAAACAAAATAATAATGATAATAATTAAATTAAAGTAATAAGCTGATTAGCTTTAATATTGATATTCATGTTATTATTATTGTTTAATTGTTTGGTGAAGTGGTCTCGTTGCAGGCGTGGAGTGCAGGTGGCGGATGATCTCAGCTCACTGTGCAGCCTTGACTCTCCTGGGCCGAGCAATCCTCCAACCTCAGCCTCGCTGAGTAGCTTGGGACTGCAGTGCCAGGCTACAATGCCCAGCTAAGTTTGTTATCTGAGTAGAGATGATTATGGTCGTTCACTTATGTTGGCCCGGCCAAAAATAAATTACATATACTACGTAAAAAAAAAAAAAGTGCAGATCACAGCATCAGGGAGCAGACAAAAACGTTGGGAGACCCAGGGCTATGGGCTCTCGCACAGTCAGGAAGTGTGGGGTGACTCCTGGAAATGCAAAGTGTGGACCATTCAGAGCTGGGCACCCAGAGTGGATGCTGGGCCAGGGCACAGATGCAGGTTACACGGAGTTGGCTGGAGAAGCCATGGGACTCAGAATCCAGCCTCGGTTGAAACTGTGTGCCAGGCATTGTGCTACAGACTTCACACCCTACCTCAGTTTTCTTATTTGTAAAATGGGAGTGATAGAGCTCAACTTATGAGTCTGTTGGGTGAAGATTATTGTGACATTGCATAAGGGGCAGACCTGGCAGAGGGCAGACCTCACAGTTTAGCTTTGACAATTGCTATTCTTGTCATTGCGATAAATGAGGAAACAGGCATAGAAGGCTACGTGCTCAGCCACAGCCACAAAGCTAGTCAGTAACTGGAAGAGCTATGAGTCAAACATGTTTTCTGACTTCCTTGCAGCCCCAGCTACTCGGGAGGCTGAGGCAGGAGGATCACTTGAGCCCAGGAGTTGGAGGCCGCAGTGAGCTATGTTCATGCCACCATACTCCAGCCTGGGCAATGGAGTGACACCCTGTCTCTACTGAAAAAAAAAAGGAAAAAAAAAGTTTTCTGATTTCCGATTTTTTTTTTTTTTTGCCCCACAATATTGCCCTTCCTGGGCCTACTAGTTCTAAATTTTTTTTAAAAAAAGAACTTTAACAGTTTGGCTGGGCACGGTGGCTCACGCATGTAATCCCAGCACTTTGGGAGGCTGAGGCAGGCAGACTGCCTGAGGTCAGGAGTTCGAGACCAATCTGGTCAACGTGGTGAAACACCATCTCTACTAAAAATACAAAAAAATTAGCAGGACCAGGTGGCATGCGCCTGCAATCCCAGCTGCTTGGGAGGCTGAGGCAGGGGAGTTGCTTGAACCAGGGAGGTTGTAGTGAGCTAAGATTGCAGCACTGTGCTCCATCCTGGGTGACACAGTGAGACTCCGTCTCAAAAACAAACAAACAAAAAACAATTCACGTATCATAAAGCTCACTTGTTTTAAGTCTATGGCTGCATGAGTTTTCATACATTTATACAGTGGTGCCACCATTGCCACAATCCTGTTTTGGAACGCTTCTGTCCCTCCAAAAGTTCCCTGTAGCCCATTTGCTCTCAGTCCCCATTCCTGCCCCCCACCCTAGGCAACCGCCAATCTGCTGTCTCACAGTTTTTCCTTTTCCTAGGAAATTCCTGTAAATTGAATCTTTTATATGATGAGTAAATCATAATAAATCAAATAAAGTACGCACTTTTTGGTGTCAGGCTTCTTTCACCCAGCACAATGTTTTTGTTTATTTGTTTGTTTGTTTGTTTGTTTTGAGACGGAGTCTCGCTCTGTCGCCCAGGCTGGAGTGCAGTGACCGGATCTCGGCTCACTGCAAGCTCCGCCTCCCGGGTTCACACCATTCTCCTGCCTCAGCCTCCCAAGTAGCTGGGACTACAGGCGTCCGCCACTTCGCCCGGCTAGTTTTTTGTATATTTTGGTAGAGACGGGGTTTCACCGTGTTAGCCAGGATGGTCTGGATCTCCTGACCTCGTGATCCGCCTGTCTTGGCCTCCCAAAGTGCTGGGATTACAGGCTTCAGCTACCGCGCCCGGCCTCAGCACAGTGTTTTGACCTTCATCCATGCTGATCCAGGTATTAACAGTTTGTTCCTTTTTATTCCATTGTATGGATGTATGACTGTTTGTTTACCCATTGGCCTTGATGGACATTTAGGTTGATTCCAGTTTGGGGCTACTATGAATTA